AAGAAAATGGGAGGAATCAACCTCCCGAACTTCAAACTGTACTACAAAGCAGTAATAATTAAAACAGCATGGTATTGGAACAAAGGCAGAACTGCAGACCAATGGAACAGGGTTGAATACACTGACATCTCCCCTCAATCATATGATCATCTAATCTTTGATAAAGGTGCAAGAAATGTGAAGTGGAGTAAGGAAAGCCTCTTTAACAAATTGTGCTGGCATCACTGGACGGCTACATGCAAAAAAATGGGCTCAGAACTCTGCCTAACACCATGTACAAAAGTAAGATCAAAATGGATTAAAGATCTCAACATCAGACCAGAAACCATAAGGTACATTGAAGACAAAGTTGGCAAAACCCTCCATGACATTGAAGTTAATGGTATCTTCAAAGATGCCATGCCACTGGCCGAGCAAGTGAAAACAGAGATAGATAAATGGGACTATCTTAAACTAAGAAGCTTCTGCACCTCAAAAGAAACAGTGACCAAAATACAAAGACAGTCTACAGAATGGGAAAGGATATTCGCCAAATACGCATCTGACAAGGGGTTGATATCAAGGATATACAAAATACTGGTTGAACTCCACAAGAAGAAAACATCCAACCCCATCAAAAACGGGGGCAATGAAATGAACAGAAACTTTCTCAAAGAAGAAACCCAAATGGCAAAAAAGCACATGAGAAAATGCTCTACATCATTAATCATCAGGGAGATGCAGATCAAAACCACAATGAGATACCATCTCACACCTCAGAGACTGGCCCACATCCAAAGTTTCTTTAACCAGCAGTCTGTTATCGGGCACTCGGGTTTTTTCCAGATTCTATCTATTGTAAATAGTGCTGCAATAAACATACAGGTGCATAGATCATTTCTACTATACTTTTTTGCATTTCTGGGATATATTTCAGAAGTGGTATTGTTGGGTCAAATGGGAGCTTGATTTCTTGTTATAACAAAATGACAAATGGAATTATCAAAAAACAGGTAGTCAGTTATTGTTCAAGTATTGTTTTATTACATAATTCTTTTGGAAAACTTTGTGGTCATTTTTTCATTTAGCTTTCCCTAAGTGTGTATCTCAATATTTAGAAAAGCAGTATCAGATTCTTGGAGATTAGTTTTAAAAGCAACTACCTGCAGATACAAAGAGCAGGATGGTACCTGTCAGAGGTGAGGATGCTGAGTTTGGGTAAAATGGGCGCAGAGGGTCAGAAAGCACAATATCCCAGTTATAGAACAGGTATATAAATGTGTGACATGGGGACCATAGATAATAATGTACTGCATATTGAAAAACTGAAAGCCGCTAAAAGAATCTTTTGAAAGTTCACACCACAACTTTGTATAGTGACAAATGGTAGCTAGACTTATTGGGATGATCAGTTTACAGTTTATACAAATATCTAACCAACATATTGTATATCTGAAGTCAATATGATACTATAGGTAACTTACCCATAATTTTTTTCAAAAGAAACCACTTGTTTATTGAACTATGGTGATCATCACTTGTTTACTGAACTATGGTGGTCATTTGATATACAGTTTGATCTTTTTTCCAAGATTTTGATTCTCCTTGAAAGGGTCTATTTATTGCAACCAAAGTGAAGACCACCATGAACCATCTTTGTTTTTAATTACCCAATATATATCTTATTTTTATGTACCTTCAACGTGTCAGAGCACTAATCTAGGGTCCTGGAATGCATCACTGGAAAAAATACAAAAAATCTTTACCTTAACAGAGATTATATTCTGGCATAGGTAGACATATATTAAATAGCAAACATCATCAGTGTCTAAATGATACAGCATAGTCTCATATAATAAATGCTATATAAAAATATAGCAGGGTCATATTGGAATTGGAGGGCAAGTCTTTGTTGTCTGCTAAAGGTCAGCCTACAGAACTGAGTTTGCTAATTAGGGGGATTGGGTGTTTATAGAGTGCCTAGAGAGTCCTAGGCTTTTATATCAAGCCAGATCTTTCCTGCTGCACTCCACACCCACATATCTATCTACTTGTCATCTAAACTTTCATTGCCCACAGGAATACTCAAATATTACAAACTTCAAGTCATCCCAAAATGACCCATCTTCCCCTACCAAACAGCCATATTCTCATTGGCATCTCAACAAACAGTGCAATGACCTTTCTAATTGGCCCATCACCTAAAACCTGAAATCCATGCTCTTCTTTCAACCCTCCTCCACTTATTACCACACACACACTGACCAAGTCCTACTGATATTTTATATATTAAGTAGATCTCAAGTCTCTTTCTTCTTTCTTTCTTTCTTTCTTTCTTTCTTTCTTTCTTTCTTTCTTTCTTTTTTGGCTTTTTGGGTCATACCTGGTGATGCTCAAGGGTTACTCCTAGCTCTGCACTCAGGAATCACTCCTGGCGATGCTCAGAGCGCCATATGGAATGCTGGTAATCAAACCCGGGTCGACCACGTGCAAGGCAAATGCCCTACCCGCTGTACTATTGCTCCAGCCCCAAGTCTATTTATTTCTATCTAAATAGATTAAAAAAGTTCCATTTTCCTAGTCCAGGATGCCATATTTTCACCCATTATCCATTCAAAAAGCTCCTAACTGGTTCTCTGACTCAAATGTTATTCAACTCCAATTCATCACATGATAGAGTGATCTCTAAGGATATAGATGTAAACATAACACTTTTTTGCTCCAAAGCCTTCAGTTTTTCCCGTCTGACCACAGACTACAACATGCTTCTTTATTGTGGGCTATTAAGTTCTCTAATCTAACACCTAGGTAAAAGTTACTATTACCCTGAACTACTCCTGTGCTCCAAATACTCCAAATACTTGCGTGTACAAGGGCCTTCATTCATGAAACGCTCCTAGTACCAAATGGTGATTTCATGAAAATTTCTGTTAATCCATTTTACCTTTCAAAATCTGTCTATTTCTGGAATCTGAGCTACACTGCTCCTCAGATCTGCACTCGCAAAGTTGGCACCCTTGTTATGATACCCTCTCATCACTTATCTTTACCTGGATTCTTCCCTAGTGAGATTGTGCACTCCATTAAAGACAGGACAACTCTCTCTTGTTCATGACCAAGAACACAAATATTTTCTTTAAAAAGCAAACAAAGTATCAGATAGCAACAGCATTCAGTTCTGCAGAGTAAGATTATGGCCTATCTTTTTCTTTTTTTACATATCCCCACCTACCAAATTTCCTGTTTTAAACTTTATGGTGAAAAAATGCAATAAATTATAAAATTAAAACAGGAATCTTACAAGAATATATTTTACCTTTGTCCTCAAAATAATAAATGAACTGTCATTTAGAGTTAAATATACTCCCTGAACTTCCCCAAACTTTTCTGGAAAGTGAGTGACATAAAATCTTCCTTATTTAGCACCAACAGTAGTATATGTTGATAACCCACATTACAAAACATTGCTCTCTAGGGCATGAAATGCCACATAGCTTTTAAAATTTCACAGAAATAATTTAGTAAGAAGAATCCATACTCTGGTTTGATGCTCAAACAAAACATAAACTTTATTTTAAATTTTAACGTGAAGATTATAGGAACCAAATTTTATATTTTTAAAACTATTGAAAACTGAGAAGTCTTCTCTGAAACGTTTGCATCCCTCTCAGGGGGAGATCAAGTCTACAAAAGAACAAAGTAAATACGAGTTACACAACTTCCATCACAATTTGTTACAAAAGGAAATGACTATAATGAATTCTGTATATTAAATGTATTGTAACATATATTTATAGTTTGCCGGTATATCATTTTATCTAATGATGAGGCATCCTGACAAAACATACCATAACAAACACCATTTACAATGACAATTTCTGAAAAAAAAGTAAATGTTCATGCTCTAATGAATGGCTCACAGAAATCAAGTTTTGTTAGTCTAACACCATATACGTGTTCATGTGTACATATGCATACATGTACTGTACCAAATTTGTACAAAGTTATAGTGTTTATTGTGCATAACATTATGATTATATACTCATAATTACTTTGTATAAATAATTTATCATACGCATGTAAAGCTTTGCATAATGATGCCTTTTGTTTATTCTGATATGACACTTTCAATTCACCAAGTCTAAATCTCTCATTTTGCAACTTGAACTGAAGCTTAGGAAAGTTCAAGTACTTGCTCAAACAACACTGTAAAAAATGACAGAACTATAGTCTCCTGATGGGAAATTACACAAAATGCTATTCAACTCACCTTCTTCTAACTAAGACAAGAAATGAACAACTCATATTTGCGTAATGCCCTAGAATTTTCATACACCATATTGTTTAAATTACATTAAAACCTCAGCTTATATCAAGGAGCTGACAGTTTGGTACTTGCCCATGGAAATACCACAAGCTAATGACCTGAGTCCCCTGACTCCCAATCCAGTATTCTTCTCTGAAGTGTACATCCTTTCTCAGCAATCATTTTATTTTCACTTATATCTGTCACTATGATTTTGGGAATAAAAAACTCAGGTCAAGGCTATATTTTTTCCCCTCCCGTTGTTCATCGATTTGCTCGAGTGGGCCCAGTAACATCTCCATTGGAGATTTTGTTGTTACTGTGTTTGGCATATCGAATACATCACGGGTGGCTTGCCAGGCTCTGCCGTGTGGGCGAGATACTCTCGGCAGCTTGCCAGGCTCTCCGAGAGGGGCGGAGGAATCGAACTTGGGTTGGCCATGTTGGCTGCGTGCAAGGCAAACGCCCTACCGCTGTGCTATCGCTCCAGCCCGTATAATATATAGATAATTATATTATTAATATATCATATAATTCTATATATCATATAATTCTACTATATATAATTCAAAACTACTTTTCAAATCCTAGTGATAATACCATTTCAGAAACTGATATTTCTGTGGTCCACGATCCAGATATTTGTGGGAGAAAAAATAAGCATCAGCTAAATCAAGATGATAGTAAAAATATCAAATATTTGACTGTGAATTACCTTCAGGCTCTTGTTTCCTTCCATTGTCCCCTCCACCACCATCACGCATTATATACTTATTAAAAAAACGCTTCAGTTTGTTTTGTTTTTTCTTCAAATTCTTCAAAATCATACTTCCCTTTCTTCGCAGTGAATTGGCCCATTTGCTGTAACATTAAAAGTTCAAAGTGAGACCTTTTGAAGAGTAATAGACAACAATGGGAAGGTATTATTCCTGATTCATTCAGTTATCACTGTAACCATTATTATTATTTTTCTATTTAGTGTCATTTTGATCATTTGCTATTCCATAACAGGAATGCTGTATTACCTCTATCTGATGGCATCGAGGTTACCCACCTTCAAGATCCAACTTGTATTTCTTGTCTAAGAAACTTTCACTTCAAGCCATAGGGATTTTTTTCTCCACTGAACTTCAAAACTAATTAGTGGTAGTTCACATTATATTAGCATAGGTAATTTTCAAAGCACTTTCATACTTTCTGGTTTCCAACCCTCTACTTGCGCTTGAGTGGACAACAGGTGGAGGAGATCACTTAGGAGTTGACAGGCCAATGAACTTGTCTAAGTAGTATACAAACTGTATCTCCTTTAATTCTCATAACCCTATAGCACGGATACTGTGTTTTCTATATTGAAAATGACTAAATTTGGACTGACAAAGGTAAGAGAACTTATACCAGGTCACACATAGCTAATAAGTGAAATGGTAACATTTGAACTTTTAACATTCTGACTCTCAAATACAGACTCATTCCATTAAACCACAATGCATCATTAGCTATTAATGCATAATAATGACAAATACGACAGCTTTCCTATGTGCCAAGGTTGTATATAAGCACTACAGGTCCATAATCTTACTTAATCTTAATGGTGACTTGATGAGGCTGGTATGATTTTTTATCACTATCAATTTTTGATATTGGAAACTGAGCACCAAGAAGGAAAATCACTTGCCTAAAGTCAGCAGTCTTAGGCAAGTGGAGCTAGGATTTAAATACAGACCTGCCTATAGTTCAGTCTCTGACCCACTTAGTATGTCTTTCACTATCCCTCTGCCAAGCTTGGCAATAATTTTGGACAAGGGTTTTTATCTTGTAGTGATATATTCTCCAAAGAGCCTAGTATTCAATAGGAACTCAGAAAAATATTAATTGAATTTATATACTTACTAGAGAACTAAAGATAAACCAGGAAAGTAATATATGGAAGAATGAAGAATTGAGCAAGGTAAAATATATTTGCATATCTGCCAGTGTTCTGGCAGATAAGACATCCCTATCCTCAGTTCAGTGCTAGGAAGTACACAAGACAAGATGCTGGTGCCTGGATAATATTGCTGCCTATACAGTGCAACCCAATTCTTAGCATGTGGAGTCCAGAGATAGATAGGTATGCCTTTGAAATGATGGCTTTGAAGGTAATACTTTTCTCCACTAAAACTACATTACTGCATTGTCACTGAGCTCCACTAGGTAAGACAGATGTGCAATAAATAAACATCTTCTCAATTAATCATAAAAATGTCCCCAGGAATAGATGAAGTAATTGGGTGAAGATTCAAATATGTATGATTTACCTATGGTCTATTTATGATGCTGTGCTTATTAGTAACCATGGTCTCAAACTACACAGTTCTCAGTCCACTGGTGCGAGATGTATTTCAGAATGGAAAAAAAAATGGATTTTAGAAAAGCAATCTGGTCTGATACAATTGGTATATGATCCGATGGGATCTGAATCAGCAACTCATGATCAACTGAATCATAGCTATTACAACAAAATACATGGATATTTACTCTAAGCTGAAATGATGATTAGAAAATGGGTAATTTCAGGTCAGATGAGGTTTTTGTTGCCAAATGAGTTTCAAAACAAAAACCTTTAGGTTTATAGGACTTTTTTTTATAATTTATGTATTTATTGAATCACTGTGGGAAAAGTTACACAGCTTTCAGGTTTAGGTCTCAGTCATGCAAATATCAAACACATTTCCCTTTACCAATACTTATTTTTCACCACGAAGAACCCCAATAAACCCCCACCCCCCCACCCTTCCCAATGCCTGTGAGGCAGATGAATTCTAGTTAACACTCTATCTACTTTGACTAGATTCATTGTTTCGATAAAAGATGCACCATTATTATTTAGAGTTTACCCCCCCCAAATCAGACATGCTGAAAAAGCATTATGAAATGATTTGCTTTCTACAGCTAGGTTCAAGAATTAAATGATGTCACACAGCCGCGCGCGGTTTTGGATTTCTGCTATTTTACTTATTAACCCTGGAAGTATTTCTACTGAGAGTCAGATAATTAAGAGATTGGTGTCTGTGCTCTGGAGCCATGGCCGTGCCAGAGAGCCGCTCATGGGGGGCAACTGGTGACCTCGGTAGGGCGTGAAGGATGAGCCGGGAATGCCCCCCTTCCCATGAGGTTTTAGTCGCCCTGTCACCACCAGCTCATACCTGGCTTTCCACAAGGCTCCCAAGTGGCTGCCATCTTTCTTTCCAGAGGGGAGAAGGCGGAAGGGACCAACACCCTTTCCCCTCCGGGCAGACATGGTGGCATGGATTAACGCATAGTCCGTTCACTTTTCTGCTCCAAGCTGCTGGGCTCTGCATTAAGTCCTTGTGCTTCTGGAGCCGTGGCTATAGGACTTTTTGAATTTCAGACTTATAAACAACAAATCAGGGGCATACATTTTTCCAATATTCTGGTGTCTTTATTTATTATTTTAAACAATTTCAATAGCTATGTTTTCTTTATCCATCAATTTTATTTTAAAGCTAATTGTGTTCATTTCACCTTAGTAACGAAAAAAACATAGGCAGAACCCTTCATGACATTGAATCTGGAGGAATCGTTAATGATTCAATGTCATTGACAGAAAATGGAAGCAATTAAATTCTATCAAATTAAAACCTTTTGCACTGCAAAAGAAACAATGATCAGGAAACTAAGACTGACACTCCAAAGACTGGGAGAAAATAGTTGCCCACCACTAATCTGACAAAGGGTTGATATCCAAGATTTATAAAGTACTTGTAAACTTTAACAAGAAAAATTAACAATCAAAACCATCAAAAGGGGGGAGAAAAGATAAATGGAAATTTCTCAAGGAAAACATACTGATGGCCAATAGTTATATGAAAAAATACTCTGCATCAGTTGTCATCAGTTAAATGCAAGTCAAATCAATGAGATATCACCTCACACCAGTGAGACTGACATATATCTTTTTGAAAAAATCAAAGGAAGCAGCATCCACTGCTGGTGGGAATGTGTACTGGTTAAACCTTTCTGAAAAAAAAATTTGGGAACTTCTCATAAAAACTAAGAATAGATTCAGAAATACTAGTTCTTAGTATAATCCATGGGTCCCAAATCTCCATTTTAGAAAAGGCATTTGGCTCCTATGCTCATTGTAGCATTATCAATTGCCAAAATATGGAAACAAGCCAAGTTTCCAAGATCAGATGACTGGCTAATGAAATGGTCCATATATACAATGGCTATAAGAAAAGACAAAAATCATACAATTTTCTGCTATGTGGATGGATGTGGAGAGTATCATATAGAGAAAAGTAAGTTATAAGGAAAGGGACAGATAAAAGAATGATCTTTCTCATATGTAGAATATGAAGAAACATATGAAGGGAATAGCAAATGGCCAAACCCCCTCTCCCTGCGGGACTAATCATTGCCATGAGTGACCCAGCACGCCCGAGCAAGACCCTAAACATTGCCAGTGAACCAGCAAGACCCAACTAAAGGAGCAGATGCTTGTGTCCTCCCACAGGTCAGAGCAGCAGAAGACATGGTGTACCCTTAACTGGTGTCAGATAAATCAGCTCCTATATATGCCAGAAGGCCAAATCTTTGACTGCACTTTCATCAGGGCAGCCTGGATACCCCAACCACAAGAGGCCAATGGTATATTACCTCTTACTCCAATCAACATCCCTCAGAACCCCACAAGAAAGTAGCTGTGGGAGCAAGAAACAACAGAACCCTAATCAACAGAATAGCATTAAGTTTAGTCCAAAAAAAAAAGTTCCTTGAATCAACACAAGGATCCACACAATTACACAGAAACAAATTGGAAGGGAGTATATTTCATGAGCAAAGAAGAGACCACCACCCAACAAGTTCCCCCAGAGTCCTCTCCTAGCAGTGGTGAGGGGAATGATTATGGTATGTTGGAAAGAATCATCCCAACACTATCAAAGGAACCAGAACAGAACCCTACCACAGGAAGTGGACAAAGATGGGAGCTCTGACATTTCAACCAGAAACATCCACCTATATAAAACTCTGAAAAAGGAAAATGTTGAGGATGTTTAATGAGCTCAAAGAAACAATGGAATAGACAGCCAATAAAATACAGGAGAGGATATGAGAGCAGAAATGATAAAACTACAAGCAGAAATGTGAGAATTTAAAAAATGGTAGGTGAAATGAAAAAATCAGTGGAAGGCCTCAATTATAAAATTAACAGCAGATGAGAATAATGTCAGTAAGTTCCAAGATGAGATGCAAAAAACCTCCAGATAACAGCAGAAGATGGAAAAAACTCAAAATAAACAGTGGACAAGTATTTTTTCAAGAGGAACAATGTAAGAATCATCAGAGTCCCAGAGGGATAGGAAAGCAACCCCAGTGAAGAAACAACAGTCAAAGACATCATTGCCGAAAGCTCCCAGAGCTGTAGAGTACCCGCATCCAGATACCAGCTAAAAAGGATGCAAATAAAAAGACTATAAGTGATATCCTAATCAAAAGAATGAACCAGAGATAAAGATGCAATACTGAAAGCAGCAAGATCAAGTAAGGAAATTACATAGAAAGTAGCGTCTTTAACATTTACAATAGATCAAATGAGATCCTCCTGGCCCAAAGACAATGGTAGGATACAGTTAAAAAAAACCAATGAAATGAATGCCTCAACCAAGAGTGCTTTACCCAGTCAGACTTTTGTTCATAGTTGAAGGAACAATGCAAAATTTAACAGATAAACAATAGCTCAGAAACTTCATAGACTTGAAACTAACTTTAAAAGAACAGAAGGGATTATTTTAAGACAAGACAAACCCCACAAACACACCAAACTCCTACTTAAATATGGCAGAAAACTCAGTCAA